GCCTGTGTCCAGTGTGTGTGTCCAGACTGTGGTCACTGAGCCTGTCCTCTCTGGACAGACAGGTCTGCCTGTGTCCAGTGTGTGTGTGTCCAGGCTGTGGTCACTGAGCCTGTCCTCTCTGGGCAGCCAGGTCTGCCTGTGTCCAGTGTGTGTGTGTCCAGGCTGTGGTCACTGGGTAGTGAACCACACTCCAGACAGCAGAGGTACTGTACCCGAGGGAGTCAAGCTCAGCGTGGCACAGGCCGTCACTTGCAAGTTCTTTATTTTGTTAAAAAAAAATAAGGACAGGTTTCACAGGCAGTGGTAATCGCACAGACAATTCCGCCACAAAAAAAATAACTACATTCCCCATGATGCCCCATGAGCAACAGTCCACACTGGCCAACAGGAAGTACAGCCCGGCATCGTGGGAGTTGTAGTTCCTCGATGAGCACGACATCATGGAGAGTCAGTCACAGGGCAGACAGGACATAAGCTTCACACTGAAATCTCCAGCCGGGCTGATGAAGGGACAGGCTGCCCCTCCAAGCCCCCTCTAGCGCTGTAGTGTGAGGAACGGGCGTTAGTCGGGGCTGGGGTCGTGGGGGGGGTCCTAGTTCTTTTATAACCCAGAAAAAAATAAAGTTACGTCCGAAGAGAGGTTAACAAAGAAAGTAAAAAAAACAAACAAAACATTTCCCGAGATTCACGTGAACGGCTTGCAGAGGAAGGCATCGTGGGGGATGTAGTTCCTGCAGCACTGTGAAGGGGGGAGGGCTCCACCTCCAGAGCATGCTGGGACAGCGAGGTCACCCCTGCGGGCGCAGACCTGTGCATCCTGGGAAATGTAGTTTTTTTTAAATCCAAGTTAGAAATTCCAAAGGGGGGTGGGAGGGATAGGGACAGTAAGTCTGCACGGAACTACAACTACCAGAAGTCCTCCTCGAGACTGAGGGCCGGGCTGGAAGACGACGACAGGCTCTGGGGCTCGGGGCGGTCCCGGGCGGGCCGGATCTTCAGTCCATGTCGTGGTCACACACACTCTGCCGCAGGTAGTCCTCGTACAGCTTCCGCTGGGGGGGGTGGGAGAGAGAGGGTGTCACAGGCAGCCCGCCTGGGTTAGGGACTACAGCTCCCAGCAGGCTCCCCGGCGCTGGCCCCTTACCTTCCTGTCCTTGACAACGTCCTGCACGTACTCCAGCTTCTCCTGGATCTGCCTCTTCTGCTTCCCAGAGAGAGTGGGGCGTGTGCTGGGAGAGAGTGGGAGAGAGGGGGAGAGAGGGACAGACAGGTCAGCAGAGAGAGAGAGAGGGAGAGAGGGACAGACAGGTCAGCAGACAGAGGGAGGGAGGGAGAGAGAGAGAGAGAGAGGGGGGGAGAGAGGGGGAGAGAGGGACAGACAGGTCAG